CTTTCTTTCTTTCATATAAACAACCAACCGCAATGTTTAATTTTTTGTTCTCATACAATGAAAGTCGAAAAGACATTCATTTGGTTACGTAACTAATAAGATAAGATTGTCATCATCAAGAGCGCAAGCCATTCATCTTGGAAGAGCGGATGCACATATGAGGTATTATCAATTAACTTACTTCAAGGACTTGAAGCTTTTATCTATTTAATCGCGCGACTTCAAAACAACATCATATCAAATTGCACAGAGTTTTATAGCTTTAAGGCTCCCTTCATTTACGTTTAGTTCCACCATTTAGTATTAAAATCCAAATCATCGGCCACAAATCGAACTTAAAGTGATTTTTAATCTCAGACATTTTGAGAATATAAAGGATATTTTGCGAATTACCGGATGATTAAATTTCTCGAAAATAAAAATATATATATAAGATTTGCACTGACAGCAGCCATTATAAATACTTGGTATGAGAAAATCAATTTAATTTTATTTATTTCGACTTTTCGTCACTATAAACGATGAACTTCGTTACACGAGAAAAAATAATCACGAGTGTAAGCCGGGGAATCAGTTATTGCACAAACTGAAGTCTAATTTTTAATAGTGAGTTGATAATGAAAACATGTCTTATGGCTTTGATCTATGGCCTAATGAAGAAAAAGCTATAAACATTCTTAGGAGAGGTCGTCCGTCTATAATGGAGAATGTTAGCCAAATGGATGATTTTGAACCCCGCGGGATGTTGGACTTGATGTGTTGGTACATTATTTACATATTTACTGCTTTATACTTTTAATTCTATTTTTCTACGCTCGTTTTTCGTGACTTAAATGTCTCCAATCCAACCCTTGCAATCAACAAGGCACACTTCTTAGATTAATTCTTGCTTCTCAGTAACAAGCTAAGAACATTAACCAATCAAAAGTAGGAAATCCTCGGCCTGCACCAACCAATCACAGCGCTTAGCCGGCATACGAAAGCCCTTTCAGAGTAAAGTGAATTGACGTTTCGCTTTTTAATCGCATTAAACCTGCTCTGAAAGTGAAAGGAAAGGAAAGGAAGAGCTAGGATAAAAACTGATTTTGACAGAAAAAATCTGCTTTTTAGATCTAGTTTATTTTGTCAATCCTTATCTTACTTAATTATCATTTATCAATTATCTATTATCTATTATTATCTATCTATTGTATTATCACCTGCCCTTGGGCGAATCACGAAATAAATAAATAAATAAATAAAATCAAGAATGGGCGTCCACTGCTGCAAGTTGATGCCTCCAATGGCGGTTCAATAAGGGAGATCATTAATGCTATTCTTCATATCTTTCAGCAGAGATGGTAGCAGACACGATGACAACAAATTAAAAGACAACATCTCAAATCGGCGAGTTATCAAAGTAAAGAATGCCGGCAGATCAAGCGCTAAGGACGCAGAAGAGCTTTTTTTAAAGCGATACAATCACAAATCATTTTAAAGCTATTTATAAAGGAAATAGTTTTAAAAACAACACGTTACGTATCATGAAGGCGATCATTTATTTTGGGACTGTGAACTAGATGTTTCTATGAATTACTAAATCAGTTGTTTAGAAAAATCGTATTTTGCTTGATCCATAAAACGACAATCAACGATAATCAAATCAGGGTACGCATAACGTGCTCACAGATCAGGCCCTTTAAAATTGCGGGCTGATCAATTCACCTTTTCGGCGCTA